AGACTATAGTCATCAGAAACTCTAATGTCATAATTCTATAGACTAACGGTGGCCATTTACTACTAGACTCACATTAGGTACGCATTAGGAAAGCGCATTAAACTGACATTAGTCAGTTTAAAGATTGTGATATCGAATGAAATTAGCCTGTTCATAAAAGTACTTTAAATTTTTTCATAAGGGAATGCAACCTCAAAACAGCGTCGCCAGTAGTAACGAGATTGTGAAGCACATCATAGCATGAACCACAATAGCTTTAAAGTCGTCTTGAGAAGCCATTATAGAAAGACCACTGAGAGGACAAGCTACTTCAGGGTGGGTTTACAAGAGAGAGAGAGAATAAATTAAGAAAATGGCAGGGAGGTTAATCAATTGTAGCATCCAGTTTGCATACCTTGCACTAAAGGGAAAGAGAACGAAAGACGAGAAGAAAAGAGAAAAGTACACGGGCGAAAAAAACAAACACGGGGGTGCTATAGCCTATTCAATAGACCACTACCACGCAAAAAGTTCAAAGAGGCCTTGACTGATTTTCTGTGCGAAGAAGGCTAGGTCGCATCGGCATTTGAGCACTGACTGTTCTGGCAAGGGTCTGTCGTCAAGGCGGGCTAACGCAGCAGCTAGCGGCAGTCTGTGCACGCTTTAGCGAGGGCATGTGGTGACACAGAATGGCTCTATCATTTCATCGCTGCCACAATGATTGCAAGCAGCACTATCTTCCATGCCTATTCAGAAGGCAAAAAAAAAATGGTGAAAGCGACACCAAGTCACAGTCGGCGAAACACCGTTGTCTCAATTCGAGGGAGTCCGGACGGAGGCGCGCGCCGATTTGTAGAATAGCAAGTAAGGTATTCGCGGCGAGATCGGGCTATTAGCCCCGAGAAGGAACATTGGCGTAGCTGCAGTCGCGGTGAAGGGAAGTCATGGCCCGGACTCGCTGCTCCGCCGCTGACGCATGCCGACGGTCGTTTCCTTCCTAGCCCGCCGTGTACCCGCTCTTCAGTGATACGGTGGGGATTTCTTCTCAATTTTCGACTAGTAGATTACTTAAGGTACAGAGCAAAGGTATACCTAATGCTGTTAAAAGTTAACTTAGCTGCAAAAAGTATGGATCCACTTTGAAGGTTCAGTACAGCGAGACATTAGTTGTTTTCACCCTACACGTACTCGACGAAATAAATGCTAAGAAAATATTTGTGCTAAATGGGTCCAACATCATTACAACTTGGCATAGACAACACAATTAAACATTTGTGTTGAAGTATTACAAATGAAATTGGAATGTTTTCAGTTAGTTCACATCGTCTTCTGACCCTCACGTCGCGGGATCGAATCCAGGCTGCGGCGGCTGCATTTCCGATGGAAGCGGAAATGTTGTAGGCCCGTGTGCTCAGATTTGGGTGCACGTTGAAGAACCCCAGGTGGTCAAAATTTCCGGAGCCCTCCACTACGGCGTCTCTCATAATCATATGGTCGTTTTGGGACGTTAAACCCCACATATCAATCAATCATCAATGAGTTATTTCGCAGCATTGCGATTTACCGTAGCAAGTTATGTCTGCCTTTGCAAATAATGTAGCCCATTACACAGAATGCCGCTTTGAGATGCAGGAGACTTTGGAATTATCTGTCTTTCATACACAATCACTTATAATGTGGATAAAAACTGTTACGCTACAAACAACAAAATGGTTTCCAGAATTCTGAGAAGTCGGTATACTCGTATCTCGTGTACAGATTTCTTCTCAACAGTCGTCCGAATTACGTGGTCGCATACCTTGATTTATTCGAACAGTTGACTCGATCTACCATCACGTCATTAACGGTAATGTTCACTTCCCGTATAGGAGCACTGCCGTTAGCAATCGTTTGCAAATCAGACGCCAGAAGTTCGAAATGAACTGTTTCGATGGCGCACGCCGCTTCGTGGCCCACGTGATAATAAAACGCTCTTAGCCTCCATGAAGCAACGATTGGTCTCGCTCGTCATGTTCATATACAGATTTATGCTGGTCTAGGGTAATGAACCGTTGGAAGAATTTATTCATCAGGTGGCTATCTAAACTGGTAACTTACAAGCTTGACAGCGCAGTCGCTAGGATGTTGCACGCAGACACTATATGAAATCAGTAGTAGTTTCTGTAACATAAACTTGTTTTTCTGTTGAAACGGAGCACCAAAATCATTCCCAAAATTATGACGCTAAATAACGTGATGAAATATGAGCAAGTACACACAAGATAATCTAACGCAACAGCTGCGGTGGTATTCTCGGGCGAGCGCATTCGAGATATTCTGCGACACTCGATACTAACCTAAGCACGCGCCCACAGAAAAAAAAAAGATATGCTGCTAGCAGTTACCTCGATGCGTCCAATACACAAGCATATTGTGGAGGTGAAACAATCACTTCTTAATAAAGAATCGCCCGTGAACAACTCGGCCTGAAACGCATGTAAGTATGATGTCGTGCACGTTTAAAGAAGCGCGACATGATTGCGAGGCACGCTGCAGGGTAATTGCGGTCACCTCGCATGTTTCAACCTGCTGCACAGGCATTATGTTGCTGTTCACCAATGTCGGAGTGCGGCTACCATGCCCGAGAATCGAACCCATCTTCGAGGCAAGCAGCTCGACATCATAACAAGCCTCATCAAAGCTTGCCCCGCCGCGGTGGTCTAGTGGCTAAGGTACTCGGCTTCTGACCCGCAGGTCGCGGGTTCAATTCCCGGCTGCGGCAGCTGCATGTCCGATGGAGGCGGAAATGTTGTAGGCCCGTGTGCTCAGATTTGGGCGCATGTTAAAGAACCCCAGGTGGTCGAAATTTCCGGAGCCCTCCACTACGGCGTCTCTCATAATCAAATAGTGGTTTTGGGACGTTAAAACCCGCAAATCAATCATCAAAGCTTGCACGCTGGAGCACAGGCACCGCGCGATTATACTGATTAAACTGTTTGGTTTTCTTTGTTTTACTAAAACCATCATTTATGCTGCTTTCGTCATTTATTTTAAAGATAACGCCCTTGAGACTGACGGACGATTGGATAGAATAGTGCATCTATGGCACCATTCACAAGTGAGTATAAGACGAGCAGGTATCATGCGCACAGCATTTGAGATGGGTCCTTGACTGACACACGGGCAAGCAGAACCATCAGAAGACTGTCAACGACTGCAGCAGAGCGCCGTCGCAGTTCATCCGCAAGTCGGTCTATTGTCTCTTCGTCGTGGCTGTGAGAACAATGTAAATGAAGTTGAACAAATAAAAGTGCACGACAATTCAGCAGCGTCTGAACACACATGTGTGTAGCTTGCTGTGCCTTTGAAAATTATCTTTATGTTGGTTCCATCTCATACGCATAATCGAATCAGATGCTCCACGCGTAGAGCTTGCGGATGCTCCTGAACACGTTGATCACACGAATGATTTACTATTGAAACGTAGTACGCACATCACGAAACGTATACCTTATAGAGTGGTAGCACGGCGCAACATTGATTCTTTTATGCATGCGATAAAAGATATGGCTCCGTCGGCACTACTGCGATTGGTGGTGCGTAATGTGACGTCATGTATTTCCTTGTTTTGATATGTTCGAATGAATGCTGAAATTTGTGTGTGTGTGCAATTTGAGTACGGGATCTTGCTTGTATGGGCTTTATGATGTGGGGATTATTGTGATAGGAGTGGTCTGGGCTTTCTGAGCGCCTAATTCCACGATTTTTCTTTAGTCGTTGTTTTTAAATATTTGTCGATGTCAGTATTTCACAATATATCACTTAACGTACTTCTTCTTTATCTTTTTTTCCGAGCTTGTGTTGTGTTACTTATGTCTCAGCCTTGCCTGAGGTCTTCATGGAAGGCTGGCAGTATCTAACAAAATAAATGAATAGTAATACCGTCGGGATGATCCCTTGGCAACCATTCTCCACTGCTAATCCGAAAGAAGCGGATTCAATATCAGCTGTGGTAGTCTGACTTCGACAGAAGCGAAGGGCGAGGCTCACGTGTCGTACGATTTTAGTGCACGTTAAAGGACGAAGTTATCCGGAGTCCTACACTTCAGCGTCTCACTTCGCCTGAGTCGCTCTAGGATACTACACCCCATAAAGCGACTAAGCAACATTATTGCGACCAGAACGAGACATTGCACGTGCCTTCAAAGAAAGAGTACATCTTAGAAGCAGACGTGTGCAGGCTAGTGTGCAAGCAGCCTGTATATGCTATCTCGTCTGTTTAACACCGAGATAAGCGTTAAAGATAGCTGAATGCCCGGAGGGAGTGAATCATCAACACTAGCAGTCAACATTTTATCGACTTGCCGCTTTTATCTCACTGCGCGCTATCGAAGAAGATTATTGACTGAAGACGATGTTTCTGCAAGTTCGGTGAGCGTTTGTATGTGAGCGCTTATGTATACGTTTACACATGCAAAACTGAAAAACAAAACAAAATTTGGGTAAAGGGGGCTCGAACGCTCCAGCCTCTCCCCTGGCTACGCCAGTGCCCGCAGGACAGAACACGTCTGAGGGAAGATGTTGGGCGCACTTGGCGCCCGTCTTTGATGATCAGAGAGGGGGGCGGCTACCTCACTGTGCGCACGCCTATATACGCTTCACAGCCACCCGAAGTCGCAGCTGTAAACATAAGCACTAGTGTCAGGCGTGTTTCTGTGGGATCAATCTCAGATGACGTAGCGTAAAGATAGGCCAAGATTATGTACTTTAGGAAAAATTGAAAACAGCTCCGCACTGTAGCGCCATTGTCGTCGAAAACTTGACTACGCATTCTGCACGCACGACTCACCCGGGACAGTAGCTGCCCACTTTGAGTGGGCCCAGATTCCGAAGCACTTTTACGCAGCCCTCTGTGCGGGTGCGTACGCCTTTTTCAAAATAGCTTTCATTCTGAGTTGTCTCCTCTGCCGGCTATGGCACCGCCGTGCAGCTACAAATGTGGGGGCTTCCGTGAGCGACTGTGGGCCAACATCTTCCGAAGTGAGTACAATACTTTTCTGGTCGCCTACTTGTCATTATAGTGTTCTGCGCAGCCAACGCTTCCACGAGGCATTGTTGGAATAGTTTGCCACTGCCAGCGGGCGAGTTTTATGGGGGCCGCAACGTTGGCATTCAAGTTTTCTTCGTGTATCCTCCGTCCAATTATTCCATGCAGCTGGCGGTGAAGCGTGAGGCAAAACACGTGGCTAAGGAGTAGGGCGCCTTAGGGGAAAAATATTTCTCCTATAAGAGACGAAAGACATGGAGACGGCTTCCGAGCTCCATAGCTTTAGCCATGGCCGGATTAACAGTGCGGAGAGCCCGGCTCAAAAAAAAAAAAAAAAAAATACAGGGGGGGGGGTGCTTCTCCTCACCCTTTTTTTACGGCTTTCTCATCTGGTCATACTTGAGACTTGACAATTATAAGATTTAGCTGCAAAGGACACTAACCAGATTTATTCTAAGCCTCTCTGAAGTGTTTGATATGACCTGGGCGTTTTCGTTTTTTGCGGAGCAAGTGAGGAGCTTGTCGTCGTAATACTTATATCAGGGGACGAAGACGCATGGACAGCATTAGGATTCGTCTGATTCATTAAATCGTACTTAAAGAAAGCTAAACTAGCTTAGAAGATAAGACGAAAAGAAGGAATGCGTACGACACTTAGAAGTGTAGTCCAAGCACCATATGTGTTTCTTCTATTCTTGACCTATGGAGTTCTTTACCCTTATTTCAATAAAGGACATCTTCCCTCAAAAACCACTGAGCACCTCAGTGAAAATGGCTTCCTCTATTTGCCACAGCTTCACTGATTCGGTACAACACGCTTCGCTTCCTGCACGCGAGCACTGCCGAAGTTGACAGGTGGGCCTTTTTCAAAAACTGTTCACCCGTATACTTACAGTAAATTAGGCGCTACCAATCCTTTAGCTAATTTTGAGTTAATACAACACGCATTTAGAGGGTTATAGTAGATACCCCCTCCTAAGAAAAAAAATCAAATTCGCAATTTCGACGCCACGAGATCCACTATACCCTGAGCAACTAAATGTGAGAGCCCGACGTCAAGCGGCCGCTTCAAGTGGTTCAAATGCCGCGCTGAAGTGCGCCACGCACTCTCTGGCGTAAGCAGTATGCTCACGCAAAACTTCATTTTTCTCAAATTGTTTTTTTAAAATAAAGTTTTCAAATTAGTTCTACCCTCTCTCGAAAACGTGAATTGATTTCCATGAAACTTCGTATGCGCGATAGTTACAAGTTAGAAACAATCTTAACTACAAAATGGCGGCTTCATAGAAAGTGAAGGTATAAAAAAGAACGTAACACCAATAACCCCCGCGGCGGGGCCCAGAATTTTCGCGTGCGTGCTTGTATGTGTGCACATATAGAATCACCGTGCGCACTGGCCCTCGACCGGGCTCATCAAGCGTTTTTTTTTATTTCGCCGACGCATGTACTTAACTGATAAACAGTAACAGTTAAGATAATAAATTAGAGGCTGTACAATTAGACATTATACAAACTGATCTAAAACTATTTCATTTGAATATTTCGCCCGGCATCGTCGACCCAAAATTTGTTTTAATGCCGCTTAATTAAGCAAATACTCAGAACACACACACACGTCTGATTCACTCCAGGTAGCAGTCGATCAGCAACATGAGTTTGGTCGCGTTGTCACTGCGTGTGTCGGCTGAAATTTCTAGGGCACCCTGTATGTAGTAATAAGAATAATATTTGGGGTTTTACGTCCGAAAACCACCACATGATTATTAGACGCCGTAGTGGAGTGCTCTTGAAATTTTGACTAACTGGGGTGTTCTTTGACGTGCGCTGACATCGCACAGTACACGGCCATCTAGAACTTCACCTCCATTGAAATGGGACCACCGCGGTCGGGATAAACCCGCAATCTTCGGAGCAGCAGCCGAGCACTTCATAGCCACTGGTCTACTGAGGCGGACGGGGCATCCTGCATTAATGCATACAAAATGTAAATGTGTTGGTGTAGGAGCTGAGGCTGAACCCTCAAATGACCCCACGACTACATCGATGACATACAGTAATCTGAGTGAACATAGCTGAAAAGCATCCTCCGGAGCGGGTTCCAACCACGAACGTTCTGTATCTTATATTTTAACGTGATAGGGTTCAAGAGCTTGTTTCGCAGAAATTTCGGTGTCGGTGTCTTTGGTTTTGAGCGAAAGAACATCTTGTGCGTTACCGAAAAATAGAGAAACATGTAATTGCAACAAATAATAATAGTTTGCGGGTCTGAGTGAGGATCCAACCCAGGCCGTTTGCGTGCAAAGCAGGTTTTCTACCACGCAGCCAAAATTACTGCTAGGAAATGTCGCGAAAATAACTTCGTCTGCTTGGAAATGCAGAAAAAATAACATTCATGCTTTACAAACAAACGCGTCCTGTGAACAGGCTTCACAATACAACATGTCACATCGGAGCAATATTGCCTGGCACAAGCGTGCTTTACCATCGAGCGTCAGAACATGCGATTATCTAATGACTTCGTGGTTTAAAGCCCGCCACCCATTACAAAAGGCCTTCATGTTACATCGCCTATTCCCACGTGGTTTTTTCCTACGTAGCCTATTCCGACGTAGCTTCGCTGATACCAGCCACATTGAATTGACCGATTACATTGTAGTAATACACAGTTGAACTTCTCGAGTAACATCATAGAATAAAAAGTATGCTTTAAGTGGTGTAAGTGCGCACTAGGCATTGGTGTAGCCGGGAGAAGGGGGGGGGGGACGTTTCAACGCCCTTCCCCCAAAGAATTTCAACTTTGCTTGCGTATATATATATATATATATATATACACGCACACTGACGAAGGCACGCATAAACATGCGTAAAGTATGGTTGAACCCCCATTCTCCCCCTCCCTGAAGAAAGATTTCAGGCACTGATTGCACCAAATTGGCGACTTGAAGACCCCGTGTGTCGAATACAATTGACTGTTCACTCCCCGCCTACTTTTATGGCTGCTTTAATTTGATACTTAGGCACGTTCAGTATAATGTACTGTTATCAATGGCAGGTAAAATAACAAGCAAGCCCGCGGCTGTCCATTGTTACCGAGCTTTGCTGTCTTGTCAGCTGATGGGCGTGCATGTCCTACCTCCACCGTTAAGCTCTGGGCGCATTGGAGGCAACCGAACGTAACGCGCGGTGCACCTGCAACGTCGAAGTAAGAAAGCTGCGTGCTTGTTGGCTAACATGAGGCTAAGTGCGCTGTTCACGCTGCCCGCCATCAATGTCGAGGTCAACATCAAATGTGGATAGCACAGCGTGCGTTTTGGTGTGAACCTAAAAAAGAAATATCCACAATAAATGAATATGTACTCGTAAGCATTTACTCAATTAATTTCGGCTTGCAACTTCAAGAGGGAATCACTTCAATGTTTAATGTTCCTGAGGACTTGTTGGCTGAAATGTTCCAAAGGTACTTTCTCTCTCTCTCTCACAGGAACTCTGTGTTGTACAAGCTATATGCATACGTAATGAATTTATAGTAATCAGACTTACGTAGTTACAGTGATCAGGTGGTGCAATATATGGCTTATGGAAATAAATGCCATAAATAGTCCCGCCCCCTTCAAGAAGTGAACGATCATCAGTGGGAAAAAGCTGCAGTGCTTATCTAAAAAGCCGTGAAATATTCGCCCACACATCATAGGATTGAACACGTTGTTATAGGGATGATTCTATATACACGATGATTATTGTTCACATATCTATGCATTTATATACATACAAGACATAATCATTTACATATCGATAAACCTATACGAGGATTACGTCATGGATTACAAAGCTGTGGGTTCGCGTTTTCCTTAGAAGATTACAGTCTTGTAGTTGGTGAAGTACGTAGCGAGAGGATCTTGCATGAGAGGTTCTATAGTTGAAACTGGAGAAAGCAATCTCCATACAGGTCCCTCTGATGGTGGTGGGACGCTGGTTGTCGTACGAGCTGCACCCAGAGATGGTAACGAGACGTCGTGTGCGAGACTAGCCAGCAGTCGTCAACTGTTCTGATGTCCGCGTTGTAGTCTCCGACAAACACGAATGGCCCGACCGTACTTGATATCAATTCTATACCGATTCATTGCCTTCACGATGCAAGTGATGACGTTTTCCTTAGATAGGTTTCTAAGTATTTAATCTTGTTTATTATATTGTAATTAGACAACCTGAGAACAGTTGTTTATATGGGAAAAAGGCAGGATGTCCCACTGCAGTGAAAACAACAGAAAAAATCACCGCTCATACTAATTTAGGACGAATTTTCTCAACGCGATAGCGTTAAAGAGGTCGTTTGGCAGACATTCCGGCGTGGGCGTCATCGGTTATGAGGGGAAATTGATCATCTTGTGCGTGACTAAAAAATATAGGAAAATGCAAAAAAATAAACGATAAAAAGTTTTGGTTCCAATGGAGGGCTGAACCCAAGGCGTTTGCTTCGCAAGCAGGTGGTCTACCACACAGTCAAATGTTTTCGAACCCTTTAGGCACCCACTACGTGATCTTAGTAGAATATACGTCGTAAAGTTTGTGCCTTTTGTAATGGGTGACTCACAATAAGTCCCGTGAAGTCTTTACCTTTTGTAATGGGTTATCATGATCATTTTGTGTCTTAAAGCTGCAGTTTAAGACATAAAATCGTAATGATAACCACACACATGTTCTGACACCCGATGATGTCATGACCACGCCTCTCTCTCTGGTGTTACTTCAGGCCATCGGCCCGCCTTAATCGAATGGCCAGATCTTCTTCTGAGCACATCTAGTATCGCTAACAATATTATTCGGGAAGAGATGAAGACTCATCATTCAATGAATCGTGCAGTCGATGTGCAATGATACACGACTGTCGATGCTTTGAAAGGGGCTATTTCGACCAAGTATGGATGATAATGCACAGCGCCTAAATTGTTGTCAGACTGTAATAACCCTTCGTGCACTATCCCTAATGATCGAC